ATCCAAAAAAACCTATACCAAGAAATCCTCCTTTTTCGTTGTCATGGTTTTGGGTGGTTCGGTGGCTTTAGGAGTGGATTATATTATATAAAGATAATAATATGTCGTATTTCTTATTTCTTACCGTAGAATTTGATACCTTCACACTGATTACTTAAAGGAGATTATGGCGTATCTACGTAGAAGTTCACTCCACCACTCGACATTCCATGATTTATACTTGATAAATGATGATTTAATGGATTCATTTAATTTTCAACATCTATCTAAGTTACTGGTTATACTTTGTCATAACCAATCAGTCATTACCTTTAGTAATAATAAGATAGGATCACAGATACGGGCAGATAATTGCACTTACATTTATTTGTCAAGCTTCCATACAATGATTTACAATTTGCATGGATATATGATTCACTCACGTTCACGCTGTAATAAAATTAATCTTCTAAAAGAGAATTTTAACTTGGGACACATGTGATTACTCTACTATGGGTATAACTTAACAGAGCCTTAATTCTTCAAGTGATACATTTACTGCCAGCCTGGATTGCTTTTTGTTGCAACCAGGCTTCATCACAAGAACTTCTTCCCACGGCCATAACAACAAAAAACTTTTGGTTACCACACATAGTCTCGCGTCACTGACAGTCACTGTGGACGGTTGTCGCAAGTAGAACTGGTAAGCGTGACTTGAATTAACCATTAGGTGCATAGACCAGCCTGGATTGCTTTTGTCGCAACCAGGCTTCCACACGTGATATTTTCCACGAGATAACAACCTAGGTTAACACACTTAGTCTCGTGTCGATCACGGTCACGGTAGACGGGTGTCGCAGGAGAACTCTGTGCGTGAATTAATTAACCATTTACTGTAGGTTTGATAGGCCAGCCTGGATTGCTCTTGTCTCAACCAGGCATCCACAAGTGATATTTCCACGGGGATAACAACCTAGTTTAACACGCTTAGTCTCGTGTCGACGACGGTTCTACAGGACGGAGGAGGTGGAGGACTCTGTGTGGTGTGGTGTCCCGCCCCCTTCAGGAGAGAGAGAATGACGACGTCTTAACTAACCCATGGCTCAGGGATACTCCTTAAATGAGGTTTTGTGTGAAGCGATGAACAGTACAACACTGTTCCACTGCCCACCCCCCTAAAGGCTGGCTAACATACACTAATTGAAAAATACATGTCCCAGTTATGCCTCGCCGGGCGTCTTATCTCTGGTAAAACAAACTTTGGAGTTGGTTGCGTGGGTAAGCCTAACGCAACCCATGACATTCGTAAATTGAGATTCGTATGTGTCTATTTATTAATAATTGTAGTCCCTGATCGTTACCGACTCCACCCAAGACTTGGCATCTGCTCATCACTACTGGTATTCACACACCTAGAGGAAATTTGGTTTTAAGGAAATAAAAAGTGTACAGGTGTGATTAATAACTACATAACTGAGAAGATACTGTAATTTCTGCTTATGCTATTATTTACCCGTAATTCTCTGAATATTCTTACTTCAAATATATACCAAACTGAACGTTATAATTTATATATGAAGGAATAATAAACCAACCAATATAATGCATTTTTATTCCTCAATATCTTACATCTTTGAAAATTGACGTAATATTTGCAGTGTAAGGAGATAATTGATTATCTTACGTGTGTTACGTGTTAAATTTAATCATACAATACTGTATTAGAATACTGCATTGTTATATATAGTTTCAGATGTCCTATTTTCAGTTTTTTCTTATTGGAACATATTCATAATAATAACAATAATAATAATAATAATAATAATAATAATAATAATAAATGTTCCAATAATGACATAAGTAGCCTAATATCTTAACAGATAAATCAGTACTGTACTTCAAAGACGTTACAAACATAATCCTTGAATGTGTAAACAAAACACTTAAAACTGACATAGAAACTAGGATATATATGTAACAACAAGACAAAATTAATAGAAACTTAATAGAATCAATTCCAAGATTTTCAAAGGCTGAAACCTCTTGGGAAATTAGGAGCAACTATTTTTACTGTTCTTGTGGATTTTGATTCTAATTGAGCGTATTTAGTTAAGGTAGTGTTTCCGTACATCAAACCTGAAAATAAACCATCACACAAACCTTATTGAGATCTCTACAGTACCTTGATGTTAATGTTTTGATTCGATTCCGTGTAAAAAGAAAACTTGTCTTCTTTTTCGTATTGCTCTGGGTCTCATTTACATTATCTGTACCCGAGGCAAATTGTATCCTAACTCCTGTTGGAAACGTTCAAAATTTACAGGTATAACTTCAAGAAATACAGGTGAGTACAGTGATATTACAGACACCGGGTAGAAAACCACAAACTGATATTATAATTTGAGTACTGAAAACCGCGTCTCATAATCAGTCATTGGCGGAGACTTAACTTGTGCTGGGCCAGGCAGGAAGGTAGTGGTGGCAGTAGGTAGTGTTGGCAGGTACTGCTGGTGGTATCAAGTGTTGGCAGATGGTATTGTGGTGGTAGATGGTGGCGGTGTCAGACTGGTGGTGGCAGGTGGTGTCAGGGGAGACAGGTGGTGACAGGTGGTGGTGGTGGTCGCTCCTTCATTTACCTTGTCTTCATCTTCAATTTGCCAGTTTGTTCCTTATTGTCCAAATCTCTAAAATAGAAATAGAGAAAATAGATACAGTGTGTGTGTGTGTGTGCGTGGTGTGCGTGTGTGTGTCTTCACCTTCATCGCAACACAAAAACCATCAAGGGTTTTCCACCGACAATCAGATAAGCTACTCAAGCTATACTCTTACCACCTGAGACGACATCCTGTGTTTGTCACGCCAGGTGGTTTACCAGGTGTGACATCTCCTGAATTGTTAAACTGACCTTTGACCTCTACCCCAAAACTTCTATGACGTCGATGAGGTCAAGGGCTTCACTTGGCGAATCTCTATGCTTAGTAGGTGCAGTTGTGAAAATGTGTTGTAACCCGTGTCTCCAAGTGGCCAACCTATATGACCTATAGCAAACCCATCCATCAATCACGTCCGTCGTTACATTACTACTCATTCATTCATAAATAGTGATACTACGACGGCGACGGTGCTGTTTGGAGACACGGCTAGTTCACACACCTTATGGACCCTTCCTGCCAGATTTGTAGTGTGTGTGTGTGTGTGTGTGTGTACATATGTCCATTTTTTATGTGTGTCTGTTTGTGTATAAAAAAAAGCCACTTGCTCTTCCTTTATAGAATTCACTGACTTACTACCTGTCCTAAGTATTCCATTTAAAGAATATGACTCAATACCGTAAATTCTTAGATAAATTCGCTACCAAAGGAACCTAACTCATTAACTTATCTAAACAAATCCCAAATTCTCCCTTACTCAAAATATTTCCTAAAAGAATCTTCATTTTAAATAACAACAAATATTAAATAGCAAAATCACAAAATATCACTTCCTGTATAATAATTTCGTTTAAATCGATAATTTCCCAATGATTATAATTACTCACGACAAGCTCCTGGTTTGAGGGACGGGTCGTTGCAAATGGCGATGTTCAGTTGGCATTCATTTCCGTACACCTTGCCATTGTTGTCACACCTAGGGTCATAGTGAAGAGGGCAGAGTGTAGGGCACTCTTCTTCCTGAGAATCTATAGGTGTACGTTGATGAGGTTAATGGGAATACAGACGTGGAAATATGTATAAACAAACTCAAATATTCACTAAAAAATTATTCGGCACTCTTACAGCGTGATACAATATGACACGGGAGCCGAATAATTTTTTAGTGGGTGTACATTGGCCTAAAATTGATATGTACACACAATATATGGGCCTGAAAATATGTGCACATAAATCCAAATGCTAACACATACATACATACATACATACATACATACATACATACATACATACTGTCCAGATATGTATCATTCTCCCCCACATTCACACACCTTCCCTCATATTCACTCACCATCCTCACAATCGATCGCTCACACCTCTCATTCATTCACCTTCTCACATTCACCACCTCCATTCGCCCCGGTAGGCCAGATGGAGGGAGCGTCGTTGCATCTTGCATTATCCAACATGCAGTCACTCTCATAGGTCACCCCGTCTGTGCCACACACTGGGTCGGCGGTGTTACTACACCATTTAGCGCACTGTTTCTCTGACAAGGTAAACAAGTCTTAGGATATTGTTTTTTAGTTAATTTATAAATTAAATATATAGAAATTACTATAAAATTAATTAATAGACTGAGGCAGACAGCCAGACACAGTCACAGAGACAATAAGCACAATACTAGTATCATCAACCAAGTTATTCTCAATTTAAATAAACAAGTCTTGTGAGCACCATTTTCATACTCACGTGAATAACTAATGAATAACTAATGTGTTTAGTGTAATACCTACTTTCACATTTACCAAGACTCCTTATGGTGATGTCATTGTCATTGCAGTATGCAATGTCCAGGGTGCACAGGTTGGAATACGTCACGCCATTACTGCCACACACGGGGACATATTCCTTGGTGCATGGCCGAAGACACTCCCTCTCTGTATAACAAAATACAATAAACATCGCTACGACCGTAACTATTAATCACTAAAGCTTTTTTAAAGGATATATGGGTGAAGTTTTATTATAATTTTCCCAGTTTTAAAGATGAACATTAATACTAAAGGTAAGCAAAGTGGTGTAACATACTGCATTCTCCTTGTGTGGAGATGAAGATGGTAGGGTCGTGGCAGGTCGCTGAGTAAACATGCAGGGAAGTTAGAGAGACACCGTTGGTACCACACACTGGTTTATACTCGTTCGGGTCACAATAGACGTCTGGACACAGTATCTCTGGGTCAGTATATCATTAGGGAAGAGCCACAGTTAGTAAACATATACTGTATTCTAATATAACATGGATAACAATAACAACAATAATAATAATAATAATAATAACAGCGTTGATAATTGTACAGGGTAGACATTACGGTATAACATTATGGAAATAACCCATATCTCAAAAGTTTGAGCTTCACTGTGTGGTATCTTCTACACACACACACAAACACACACAGTTAAAGAAATACGTACACATTGCATAAACACAGACGCACATACACAGACACACATGCACACAGATTCACACGAACATACACAGAGTCACACGTATTTGCAGTTATGCTAAACGGAAATTTAACATTAGTAAGACTTACCAGGAATTGGGAAACTGTTGCGGGCTTAATAGATGGAGTGTCAAACCACAGCTCCTTTACTATTTTAAGGGTCCCTAATTTGTCTCCCATATAGTAACTCAGGGGAGAAACCCAATGACTCCTGGGGACATTCCCTGATGGCAAAGAGTAACAAGTCTATGCTTTCATCCCATTCCTTTGGTGTTCTATACAGTATTTTTGAGCATTGATTTGAAAGTTTGATGGAACCGTTCCAAGCAACCTTGGGATTGTGGGTGGTAAGCCGAAGATGTACAATGGTCCACACTGAGGTCTTTCATCACCTGTTTGAAAAGATTGCTCGTAAAATTGGTGCCCTGATCGGATTGGATCTCTTTAGGAATGCCCACTGAAGTGAAAAAGGTGCAAAGATGTTTGATTACGTTTTTTGAAGTGATGCTTTTAAGGGAAAAGCCTCAGGATAACGTGTACTGGTATCCATAACTGTGAGCAGGAATTGATTTCCCTTCTTAGTCTTTGGTAATGGGCCCACACAATCCACAACAATCTTTTCAAATGGTGTAGAAAATACTGATGGGCTTAATGGGAGCTACTGGTATACTTTCATTTGGTTTTCCTACCATTTGACAAATATGACAAGATTTTAGGTACTTTGACACATCCTTCCTAAGTCCAGGCCAATAATAGTGTTGGAGGAGCTTTTATATGTTTTCAGGATTCCCAAATGTCCTGAAATACCATCATGGGCAAGGGAATTAATGCTGGTCTGACTGAGGTGGGAATTACCACTTGATGTATTTCAGACCACGTGTCTAGATGGGCAAGCTCAGGGGCCTATAGGCTCATCAAACCCCTTCATGATAATAAAACACGGAAGGGTGTTAAAATCTTACCTCAACCGCTGCATGATGAAGTTTAGTCAAAGATGGATCAGATTGTTGGGCTTTAACGAGCTCCTCCTTACTAATGGTCTTATTGTACAGATCTTCTGTGGGTAGGAAGATATTAGAGGTGGTTTTAGACGAAGAGGGCCCATTTCGCACACTCTGTGACCGGGTGACAGCACAAGATGGGAAAAGATGAGGAATAGTTTCTTTTAAGGTCAGTGGTGGAGTTGACAGGTAGGAGAGTCGACTGTTTTATGTTAGGACCACTAGATCTCCTACCAAGTCATTACCCAATAATAAATGAATGCCGCACACAGGCATTGGGTCTTTCCTTATGGCTATTTGCACTTCCCCAGTAATCAAGGGACATTGAGGTGCACTTTAGCTAAAGGATAGGAAGAATGGGATGAGAGATCCGAAATTAGAACACTCTCATTAGTAAATGCGGTAGATATATCAGGAATGACGTTAAACAGGAGGATAGATTGTGCTGCGCCCGTATCACGTAGTATACGAATAGGGAAAGAACGAGACCCCTCCATGATTGAAATTTTTCCCTCATAGGTGAATGAAGAGAAGAGATCCTCATGGGGCCTTTCCACATTGGTGTTTGCTATTGGTTTGGATTTGGGATCCAGGGAACTACTTTTAGCAATTCGACACTTTGGGTGTTTAAATTCTGGATCGTATGGCCTGGGTTTTACAGTAAGAACAAGTAAGCTTGGTTGCATCGGGGGAGTAGGTGGGACCTGACCTACCACCACGTTCCAAGGTTATCATCAGAGGAGGACCCAACATGTCAGGAAGTACCACGTTCTCTACTGCCCAGTGACTCCACCAACAAAGCGTACGCATCAGCCAGCTCAGCAGCACGCCCTAAATTAACCTCTCCACGCTCCTCCACATGCTTCAAGATGTGAAATGGTATCTTGCTCTTCCACTCTCCAGGACTACCAAATTTAACAAATCCTGAAATGTACACACAATATATGGGCCTGAAAATATGTGCACATAAATCCAAATGCTAACACATACATACATACATACATACATACATACATACATACATACATACATACTGTCCAGATATGTATCATTCCTCCCCTCACATTCACACACCTTCCCTCATATTCACTCACCATCCCTCACAATCGATCGCTCACACTCCTTCTCATTCATTCACCTTTCCTCACATTCACTCACCTCCACATTCGCCCCGGTAGGCCAGATGGAGGGTAGCGTCGTTGCATCTTGCATTATCCAACATGCAGTCACTCTCATAGGTCACCCCGTCTGTGCCACACACTGGGTCGGCGGTGTTACTACACCATTTGGCGCACTGTTTCTCTGACAAGGTAAACAAGTCTTAGGATATTGTTTTTTAGTTAATTTATAAATTAAATATATAGAAATTACTATAAAATTAATTAATAGACTGAGGCAGACAGCCAGACACAGTCACAGAGACAATAAGCACAATACTAGCATCATCAACCAAGTTATTCTCAATTTAAATAAACAAGTCTTGTGAGCACTATTTTCATACTCATGAATAACTAATGAATAACTAATGTGTTTAGTGTAATACCTACTTTCACATTTACCAAGACTCCTTATGGTGATGTCATTGTCATTGCAGTATGCAATGTCCAGGGTGCACAGGTTGGAATACGTCACGCCATTACTCACACACACGGGGACATATTCCTTGGTATGGCACACCCTCTCTGTATAACAAAATACAATAAACATCGCTACGACCGTAACTATTAATCACTAAAGCTTTTTTAAAGGATATATGGGTGAAGTTTTATTATAATTTTCCCAGTTTTAAAGATGAACATTAATACTAAAGGTAAGCAAAGTGGTGTAACATACTGCATTCTCCTTGTGTGGAGATGAAGATGGTAGGGTCGTGGCAGGTCGCTTGAGTAAACATGCAGGGGCTAGAGTAGGTGACACCGTTGGTACCACACACTGGTTTATACTCGTTCGGGTCACAATAGACGTCTGGACACAGTATCTCTGGGTCGGGGTATATCATTAAGGGAAGAGCCACAGTTAGTAAACATATACTGTATTCTAATATAACATGGATAACAATAACAACAATAATAATAATAATAATAATAACAGCGTTGATAATTGTACAGGGTAGACATTACGGTATAACATTATGGAAATAACCCATATCTCAAAAGTTTGAGCTTCACTGTGTGGTATCTTCTACACACACACACAAACACACACAGTTAAAGAAATACGTACACATTGCATAAACACAGACGCACATACACAGACACACATGCACACAGATTCACACGAACATACACAGAGTCACACGTATTTGCAGTTATGCTAAACGGAACTTTAACATTAGTAAGACTTACCAGGAATTGTTTTCTTAGTCTGGGATGCTGTTGCCACCACCGCCACAACCACCAGCATCAGCACTGCGGTGCGAGTCATTGTGTCCAGTGTTGATTTCACCACAACAGTAAACACACACCTACAGTACAGCAAGACATTCAGTCCTCAGTACACAACTTGAATTACAAAGAAAAAGTATAACTTATTTTGGTTTTACTACGTACACAAATTACTAAAGCCGTAATGTTAAGGGTCGACATCTATAGAGGATGAATAATTTGCCATTGAATGGTGGAACTACTACGAACCAGCCTTGTGAAGGACTGCCAAAATGATTTATGCAGGGACGCTCTTGCTTGACACAATCTCAAGGTGTCAGTTGATCGAAAATGTCCAAAGGAGGGCCACCAGTCTGGTGCCTGCACTTCGGCACTTCAGTAACCCAAAGAGATTAGAACGCCTGCAACTACCTAGCTTATACTACAGACTAACAAGAGGTGACCTAATTGTTGTTTATAAACATCTCAGAGGGCACTACTCGATCGAATGTCCATTCCAGTAGCTGGCGGACGCCAGGGGTCACAGCTCAAAGTTGAAGAAGCCACAAGTCCAGAAAATTGTGAGGGCAAACTTTTTCGGAGTGAGTACTGTGAACACTTGGAACAATCTGCCAAAGAGTGTTGTGACGTTACCGAGTGTCACGTGACCTGCTTCAAGACCACAGACTTTGCAACACTGGCGCAGATACATTCTGGATCCAGTACATGTTCAGTACTTGTCAACAGAGCGTAACAGAGACGTAACCGACCGCCCAAGCAGTTTACGAACCGATCAGTGGCAAAGAGAATAAGGGACAGTACATTGTTGGGTGAGAAAGGTTGGGAAACGGTCCTGACTTCTGTATTACTGCTGTTATATTATCACTAAATAAAAAGAAATTATAAGTCTTACAGCAATAAAGTGATTATGAGACCTGACTTTCAATGCGAGATCCAGCCTTCATGAGACTCAACCACTTCACAAACCATCCCAGGTAGAGGGAAGGGTCGACCAACTCGAAGCAGAAGACAGATTAAGTGAACAATATTCTTATACAAAAATACTAGATACCTAAACAGTTGCAGTTTTACTAATCTTTCCATCATATTTAGATGGTCTAAGTTCTAAAATGTTTATTCTTTTTTATAATTCAACTGTAAATTTATACTGAACTTAATGCTTCGAATCATAGCTCTGAAGCTTCACAGAGAACAACAAGCTCTTCACCTATTCTAAATAGTGAAGTACAAAATGTACTATACTTTCAAAAACAATTCATATAATTACTGAAAAAACTCTTACGGTTTGATAAGTTTTCTTCAGTATATCAGAAAAACACTTACCGGAGGAGAGACAGTCGGTGATATACAGTATAAGCAGACCTCCACAAACCGTCTTCTTGATGGCTCAAGCTCCACTGTTAACGCTTTGACCCCAACGCCTACATTTTGTTAACATCATGACGTCACTCACACCTACACAAGCACACGCACAGGACTCGGTATTCCCCTGTAATCAGCAGGTGAGAAGAGATAGGTTAGGTTGTTGTGGATAAAAAGGGATGTTTATGTCTTCATTTCATAAATTAATTCTTGTAATAAGAATAATGGGATTCCAACATCAACCCTGACTCCACCCAGCTGGTTTTATGGCCATGATCGTAATATATTGACTACAGTTATTATGTCTCTCCCTAATGAAGGATGTTAATATATGCCTTTAACATAGTGATAATTATCTTAACTATAACATTACTCCCGATTACCCATTTGGTCTTAAACAGTATAAGCAATATGTATATTAAACTTGGTTCTCTATATTCAAACACGATTAAAGTAATACTATTAAAATCGGTAAGTTTATTTTGTATTTTGAATTCTTTTGTTTGTCAAATTTCAATGATGGTGTACTGTATTCTTTCAGGAATTATTGTCGTCTTCAAAATAACACATTAGCAATGTTTGAGTCAGTTTCACACACCTGGATGACTAGGCAGTAACACATATCTATTATGTACATGTACTTTAGTTTCCAGTGGTGTGTAGGGGAACCTGGTCTTGTTTTACCCACCAGCTGCCTTTAGGTCATCGTGGTAAACCAAAGCCACACACACACACATGGAAGATGGTCATAAAACGTTGATAATAATGATGTCATTTTTTAGGGTTCTGTATGACTGAGACTGTCTTCAAATGACATTACTACAAAATTTACAATGGAAATTCACCCAACCTCAGAGCGTATGTTGCTTTGTTTATAGTGTGTCATGAAGGAGGAATAGGGGCATACAGTACCTTCTGCATGGGGTTATATATATAGCTTTTAGAGGTTGCTCAATACTGCACTGTTCTCACCTGAGTTCCTGAATCCTATCTACCAGAGCTAGATGAATAAACATACATTGATTAGGGGCTGCGTTAAAGATTCCCAGCTGAATCTAGTGATTTATGCTTCCACAGAGACTATGAACATCTTGACACACAACGGTTCAAACAAATTATCAAGCAGTAATTGGTTTAAAGAAATTTATTACAAATGATTCATTTAACACATTGTTGAGAGCATACAATTATTACACAATAATAAAAAATATCACAATCACAAAGGTATTATTTTCACATGTGTGGTAAAGACAAATACTATATTGCACGTAACTCATAAAAAATGACTACAAGGAAAAATATATTTTTTGTACTGTTCTGATTTTGTCATATTTTGTGCCAATCAGGGAATGTTACAAAAGACATAAGCCTGTTGGTATGCTAATGCAGGAACTACATATGATCCCATCTATGGACTTCTTGTAATCATTATACAAAGACCTCTCCTCCTGACTGTACAAGGTGTCTCATAGGTCACACACCATAAGAAAATTACAGTAATGCTCTCCTCTTTTCTCAGGTAAGGGAATCCCAACATATCAGTGAAGAAATAAACACTTGAGGAAAGAGTTAGTTTCATACTCAAGTAGAGAGAGCCAGTTGCAAAATAATTTAATCAACAAAACCCAGGCATTCATTGATTTCCTATGATTCCCTGACTTGAGAAAAAAGTGGAACAATAACTTTTTTATGGTGCATGACCAATGAGACACCCTGCACATCCACACAAGGTCTCTAGTTGATAAAAATCATACCAATACATTTCTTAGAAAGTTCTAACATTTACAAATGAATCCGATATTAATTGCTACCTGATTTGCACATGCACTCAATCAAGGAACTCTAGTCAAAATTTATTTCAGTCCACAAATGAGATGTAAGCTCAGCTGCATGAACCCAACACAGAGGTTATGAGGAACTAGTAAGCATCTGCTTAAGTCTTCATCACGTATTATCAAGAGTTTAAATCAGAGGTTCAAAGTTAGCACACTATTGTTTTTATAACCTGTGTGTGTGTGTGTGTGTGTTTATTACACACACACACACACACAAACACATGTACACTTAAAAAGGTGTCCAAAAACTACATCGTACTAACACTGAACCCCTGATACTAAGGTGCGGTATTTCTACTACTAGTATAACTATAGCCTAAACAACAACTTTCAATCCTTGAGCACCGCTATGTTCTATACTATAATAAAAAATTATTGTCATATTAAAGTCCGAGTCATGAGATAGATGGATATACTCGTATTTTACAAAGCACAGTACAGTAACATCTGTAAAACAAATAAGCAATTTTAAGTTAGCTTCAATTTGCTCTAGTTTTATAGGAAACTCATTGACATAATATTCTTTAAATGAGCGTAATGAAATAAGTTACAACTAATACTGTATTTGCATCCTGAATACAGCCCATCTATTAACTCCTTCACTAAGGAAAAGCCAATCTTAATATTTTAGTTGGCTATCGCCAGATAATTTTATTCAACTCAGAGGGGATCCTGTACACAAGGGGTTAATATACTGGTATCTATTTATTCCCTAACACATTCTTTCTTCTATCCTTGTCCTGTACTGTGCTAAGCACCTTTGTCTCTATATCAAAGTAGAGCAAGATTTATCATATTTTTAATCTTTACTTGTCAACACCCATTACTGCACCAACAGATATACAGTAGTAAGCCAGATAAAAGTACAGTCCATCATTTCTTTCTCTATAACAGATGGAAGGGCAGATGAATCCTTCAACAAGTTCATTCTTATTATAGTATTCAGTACTCCACATTTTCCTAGTGTTTACTCTCCTATTCAAGCTTCTGTTGAGCTAGTACAGTACTGTATCCTCACTCAAAAATAAATAAAGAATATCTAAAAATCTCATAAATAACTTTTATGTACCTTAAAAAATTCTAATGGCTACAGTCTCAAGTTAAATGTATTTTTTTCATATTCTTAATCAAAACCTTATTGCGGGTGTTATGTAGTCAGATGATACTGTACATACTACTCAATAACAGTTATGGACAGTAGTTCCTTTATGCTCCTGTTCAAAACTACCAAACACAAATGAGACACTTTACCTCATGACTGTACATCCACACAAGGTCTCTGGTCTACACTAAGTAAAATGATGCATTTCTTTTGCTGTTCTTCTATATACATATTACTTGGGAACATTCACTGTACAATCTCTTTTGAAGGCAGTGAAGGTATTATCAGATCAAAAACCTGGTGAACACAACAAAGTGTGACCACCAGCTCTGAGTGAGACTTAAGTAACAACTCGTGCAGACTATTCCCCTATCATTTTAATCAGTCACCACCTCAACATACTATACTCTGCACCAAAACTTGAAATTTTTATAAACGGTTACACAATGTCCACATGTTTTACTTCAACTCTGTTCATGTCTGGGTAATTGAAATATGGTACTGTATATAATTGATGGGAAATTCTCAAAGCTGGTTTGGCTATCACACAAGTGAAACAGTCACCCTTTGCTTCCACTAAGAATATGACTAGCACTAAACATTAGACATAAATATGGAAAAATCCTTCTAACTCCATTTAACACTTCTGCAGTGAGAGAATCCCGCACGTCAAGTAGCCATTTCAATGTTGCAGTTACGGTAAGCAATATGAGACTAACACTTATCCTTGTGCCAGGGTGAAAATTTATACGGTTAACATTAACTTGCATAAAATGTCACCGAAATAAAAATTTACAACTCCAACGAACAATTAATTAGAGTACATAAATGTGCTGGGATATTTACATTGGAGAAACTTACACACGTCTGAAGTACACTCAATATTCAGTCTGTCATAAACACTGACCTACAAAGCTTTTATATTAATGCATATAAATATAATCTACTACTAGATTAACAACTCAAGGAACTTTCATATTAAAAATCAATTGCCAGCATATTTACAAACATACAGCAACCTGATGCCACTACAGGGTGTCTCATAGGTCTCACACCAGAGGAAAATTAATGTTCTTTTCTTTTTCAGGTGAGGGAATCATAACAAACCATAACAGAGGTGGCAGAGAAATGAACACTAGAGGAAAGAGTCGATTTAATATTCACATATGAAAAGCCAGATGCTACACACCGATCAACAGTGATAGAATTTAATCCACAACACTCAGGTATGTGGAAGGGGAGGTGTTGTCAATTATCTTGATCAGTGAGTAACATCTGGCTTTCCATAACTGATCATTAAACTGACTCTTTCCTAAACTGTTAATTTCTCTCTCATCGTTGTTGATTTGTTATGATTCCCTCACCTGAGATAAGAACAAATGGAAACACATGGGAATAAAGAGTTCTTGCTGGTCTACTTAATTCATTGAGTACTTTACAAAAATAATTTTCACACAGAGTCGGGAATTTTACTGTGGCAAACAGGTGTTACTATTCCTTGAAACATGTGCAGTATTGTCTATTATGTCTTACTGCTGTTATAAACCTCATAGATAAGCCGAAGGTGTTTATCCCCAGGCCACCATATCCCAGAAAGCCTACCAAAGATACAGTAATTAGCTGGGTTAACTAATGGAACAAGCATTAAATTAACCTTTGGTAAATACTCAGATATAATAGGTGGAGCTTAAACACTATACCAATGATAACAAGAACAAAGAAACAAAACTCATCAAAATAAACCGTCAACAATGAACGACCTTCAGCGGGGATGAGGCCGAGTAGCCATTATCCGACAACTTCGGAACATCTGCTAACCTAATATTCACACACAGAGAAATTAATCTTAGTTTCTTATGGGGACTGACACTTGTTCAAATATATTTACTTATGATCTAAATAAAGCTGAGAGGTAGAATGATGACTTGTCTGTTCCTCTCTCTATTGTGTCCTTCAACAGACTGATCACTTAAACTGATCTTGCCCCCAACACATACATTTCTACTTTGGGACAGCATGATCTCCTTACACTCCTTCCTGTACTTGGAGTCGGTTGCCACACACAAAATCCCCCACTTAACATTCTACTTGTCGATATTCTTCATGTTTTCCAGTGTCAGATCCCCAAAAGAACAATGACTCAAACAGCTGCTAAAGATTTCACTCAAGCCTGGATGAGTTACCTATTGCCGTCAATATTAAGTCAGGTGCATAATGTATATATCTGTTAATGTACAAACCACTAAGTGCTATTTAGGGTACGAGAATAGACAGAGAAGGGCAGACAGGGATGACAGATTAAACACGAATGTTAAATTTTACTTTCCGAGCAACAGTGAGTTTAAGATTGTGCAGCAAACTACGAAGTCTGCAATGTAACCAAGGCCTGAAAATAACCATCACGGCAAATAAAAAATAAATAAAAAATCTCCCAAAACACGGCTACCATTTTCTGATAACTACATTATTATAAAATAATTTTTGATTAAAATAAATGGTCGATCTGTAGATTCTCCAGCTTTCATTTATAATGTCTACATATTTATATAGATCTAATATAACGGTATGTACAAGTATAATTTCTGAAGTAACTATTCAGAAATCTCCCCAGCCATTGTCCCAGCTGTCTTTCACTTCACTCGTACTTGCTACACCATTATTATATGACTGAGATGCAAATGAGCTCACTGCTGACAACTCTGATCTGCCAGAACTAGTGACATTTTTATCTGATAATGAATTAATATTTACACCCATTAGCAGTGAATTCATTTCTGTGCCTTTATTAACAGACTTAGAAGGCGAACTGGTTTCAGAATTTAGTGGGGAAACGTCAAACAAGTTAATCTGTTCCCCCCATCCTTCTTCCGTCCCCCAGGCCTCAGCGGCCCCACTGGTGTCTAGCCCCGCTAACGTCTCAGAGACTGAGGGTGACCTGACTTTCTGTATTCCCTGCACCTTACAATTAGCTTCCATTAACAAAGATTCCAAGTCAAACTTCTTTGTGTCAAACTTAGGTTCAAGATCTGCAAACAGGTCCAGTTCTACATCATGTTTCTTGTTGACTTTGATGGCCAAAACATCAAACTCCTCACCAAGACTCGGAGTTCTCTTCGGCACTACACTGCTGGGTGCATCTTTATTCTTTACATTGGTGAGCTTCATACCTGACGATGATTTTACATTTACAGAATATGACCCCTCAGTAATGTTCCTCTTACTGCTACTCAATAAGGAAGCTGCTGCCTCTGGTGGTGCATTCACTTTCATCTTATTGGTACTCTTAAAAGCAAATGATGTATCTTCCTCATTCATTACATCCATTCCCCATTTATCATCACTTGTTTTTAATTCATCTTTATCTTGATTGACAGCAAGGATTGCCATAGAGAAATCCTCTAAAGGTGCATCCTGCATTTCTTCCCAATCAGAGGACCAAGCATCTACATCACTACCTACTGGTCCTGAAGGCCCTGCCGAGGGGTTTGTTAAGGTGCCGCTGTCTTCTCCTCCATCAGGCGAACTTCTCTCTGGGATCTGAGTTAAAACTATACTGTCAATTGAGAGGTTGTCCAGAGAGGTAACATCTGATTTTACTTCAGTGTTAATGGGTTCTGGTGGTAGGGAAATGGTTCGAGGTGGAGGTGGTGGTGGTTCTGTTTAGATGAGAAAAAACACATTAATTAACATACACCAGTACTTGTAAACAGTCAATTATTAAGTAAACTTTAAAGTGAGAAATCTAGTCGAAAGAATAGTTAGGACACAACAAATAGGGTGAATATCTGGTCTGAATCTTATGTTATGTTCCAGGTTCTCTCTCTTCAGTCTTTACAAACGACCTCCCCACCCATATACCTCCCCACACCCACACAACACCTTTCTGTGTGTATTTTTGCTACATTCTAGCAACCCTGAATTATTGTGCAGAAAAGGCTTGAGGAACAAAATAAAAATAAGACCAAAACCCCATCCAGTCTTGTCCAGGTGACATACCATCGGGGTGAGGCGGTGCTGAGGCTGCGAGGCGAGTCTTGGTAACTTTGCTGGTCGTGGTCTTTGGCTCAGTAGAGCTTAACTGGTGAGAGGACGCTGCTTTACTTATTGGTAAACTTGCTGCAGCCTGCAAACAAAAATATTATTCGTGTCTTAATCAAGTTGGTATCTAGACGAGTCAAAAAATTTTAAGTTAATTTTTTTCCAAACTAGGATTTCAGTAATGTACAGTACTGGTACTGTATATAGTTAAGCAACAGTCTCAGTATAATTCTGATGCCATTTATGTATATATTGTACTATAGTTTACATCGGTATATCAGATACATTCTTATTCATGATATTTTCACAATATAGGCCACTTTCAACACCTTTTATGAACCTGAAACAGAAATGTCTTTGTAATGCTCAAATTAGTGTACCAGATATCATGTTTTTGAAAGAAATGCATTTTATACAATGGCAGTGTTTGTCAGTTTACGGATAAAAAGTTACCATGTTTTCACATTTGAGAGAATAATTTAACTGATGAAGCTTTGAGACCAATGAGCTGGTGAATACATACAGAGCATACGAGTTCAAAATGTTCAGTACCTGCAACATTACAGAGCAAATATCTAATCTATCATATTCAAATATTTCAAAGCAAGGATATAGAGTTTTATCCTACAAAATATAGAGCAGAGATGTAATAAATCCTACAATATTAGAGCAGACGCATAATTTATTATCCTAAAATATTATAAAACAGATATGAAACATAATCCTACAAAACTGAACTGACCATTGACCTTTCTGACTGACCTTCGGCTTAGCAGTCGTGAAGAGATTCTGTCGATTTTCACCGATGACAGTGTTGGCACCCAGGATTGGCACAAGTTCAGCGAGGGCGTGGAGCGTAGACATCACGAGGCTGTCGCTGGAGTCACGAATACCAAGCAGCAACTCTGGCAGCTGTGATGTGACATGAAATTAACTTCAAAACATAAATAACAAGAAAAAATATAAACCATGAATTAAAATAAAATGTAAGATATAAGTACAGTAACAGCCTCTATAATTCAGGATGGTACAGGAACAAACAGCATCTATAATTCAGAATGATACAGGGACAAACTGGGTGGTACAGGAACAGTTACAGGAAACAACCTTTTGATATGACTCACCACCTCATTAGCGAGAACATCCTTGGGAATTAATGAAACATAATATGGCAGGTACATGAGCAAGATGCTTCGGACAGTTGCATCGTGTATGCCAAAGAGGCGGACAAGCTGGGGGACTATGTTACGCTGGAACACCTCCTGGCTGAACAGGCCATTCTCTGCCTCACTGTCTGCACCTGTGGGATAAAGCATTATGTTTACACACCTGAGTGATGTTGTGTATAGCTTGATCTCATTAATGTTTTAAATCTACTCCTACTTTTGTCCAGGGTGGTTCATGGGATACAGAAACCTCACAGAAAGGGCAAAACAAAAATGGAAATTTATAAAGGAAAAATAATAAAAAAACACACTCTGAGCTTTACCATATTTTCTTTTTTAATATATTAACAATAATATCAAATAATTTAAAGTTCTCCAGTTGTTCAGCTGGAGTGGACACCCAAGATTATTTCTCCCAAATGATTATGTTAATCTAATATACACTCCTCAATTTAATGTTCCAATCCTCTAATATAAATTCTAAATATCAACAGTTCCTGAGATTACTTGCCTATATCTCAACACAAAAATAATACACTGACCATTGTTAGGTATGAGCACTTTGGGCATAAGATGTGTTGAGGCAGCTGGATGCAGCAACAGTGGGCGACTTAACAACGCTTTAGCCAAAGTACCCGACACCAGTTCTTCTGGATACTGACGTAGGCTGTCAGCCACAGACCTGGTGGACGGAATAAACACTAAACACGATATCCCTCACATTAACTTCTTGGCACAGCTTTAACCATTTGTGGATGATGGTTAAGTTTTCTTCCTTAAGGAGCTTACTCATCATCCATAAAAGATTAAACCATCATCCTTAAAAGATTAAACCATCATCCTTAAAAGATTAAACCATCATCCTTAAAAGGGTGATGAAGAGGGGAAGATAATAGGCTCATACAAAACAAATAAGCAACAGGAATGGGATCAGACAACAAGTAAAATTATCTCATACATATTCACAGTCCTCACATCCTCAATTTGCATACTTAATACAAGTGAACCTCTACAAACTCACGCCCAGACACACACTAATCTCTGGAAATTTTACCCAGAAACACACTAATCTCTGGTAATTTTACTCAGAAACACACTAATCTCTAGAAATTTTACCCAGAAACACACTAATCTCTGAAAATTTTACCCAGAAACACACTAATCTCTAGAAATTTTACCCAGAAACACACTAATCTCTGGAAATTTTACCCAGAAACACACTAATCTCTGGAAATTTTACCCAGAAACACACTAATCTCTGAAAATTTTACCCAGAAACACACTAATCTCTAGAAATTTTACCCAGAAACACACTAATCTCTAGAAATTTTACCCAGAAACACACTAATCTCTGGAAATTTTACCCAGAAACACACTAATCTCTAGACATTTTACCCAGAAACACACTAATCTCTGAAAATTTTACCCAGAAACACACTAATCTCTGGAAATTTTACCCAGAAACACACTAATCTCTGGAAATTTTACCCAGAAACACACTAATCTCTGGAAATTTTACCCAGAAATACACTAATCTCTGAAATGTTACCCAGAAACACACTAATCTCTGAAAATTTTACCCAGAAACACACTAATCTCTGGAAATTTTACCCAGAAACACACTAATCTCTGAAAATTTTACCCAGAAACACACTAATCTCTGGAAATTTTACCCAGAAACACACTAATCTCTGGAAATTTTACCCAGAAACACACTAATCTCTGGAAATTTTACCCAGAAACACACTAATCTCTGAAAATTTTACCCAGAAACACACTAATCTCTGGAAATTTTACCAAGAAACACACTAACTTCTAGAAATTTTACCCAGAAACACACTAACCTCTAGAAATTTTGCCCAGAAACACACTAACCTCTAGAAATTTTACCCAGTCACACACTAACCTCTGGAAATTTTACAAAGAAACACACTAATGTCTGGAAATTTTACCCAGACACACACTTACTTGAGAAATTCCTCTCTCTTCTGGTCAGTAAGGAGGAGAACATTAGTCAGGTTATCGTGTAACTTCAAAAAATCGTGACTGAAGATGTGGTGGTCAGCTAAAGTTGCCAGACGAGGCCGCTGTGTCCAGTCTTTGTTGAGGCCGCACCTCTGGACCAGCGAGAGAAAATCCTCAGCTCCTGCCAACTCTGGTAATTAAAGGATAGCACCAAGCACCATTAAAACAACAACTAAGACAAACACCATTAAAACAGCATGCAAAATAATGGTAATTTAAGAATATTTTGTATTAGAGGGTCTTATATATATATATTAAAAAACCATGAATAGTTTGCTGAATCTCCCAAAAACACATTATGTACACTTCCCCCTATGGCAGAGAACAACTACATGTACTGGTATTATGATATGGTCCCTGGTCAGGTATATACAATAAACAACACTAACCTGACACAGTTTCAGGGGAGAGAACATCCTCAACAAGACAAGCGAAGGCGTAGGAATCTCTAGCATGCTGATAAGCGGGAGTGATCCGTGTCTTGTCGTCCGGTGGGATGAACTTCTCGTGGCAGTAGCTGTTTATGTGTTCGATGTGGTCACGGGTCAACTCTCCAAAGCTACGGAAGAGACATAGAGCCGAGTACATTATTCGATTGAGTTTACACAAAATAATTCAACTCCATAATCAATGTAGTGTCCAAGTGGTCCCAGTTCTAAGGGTTAGATTACGTTAAGTTTGAGTACGTTAGGATGGGTGGAGTTAGACCAGGTTAGACTGAGTTAGGTTGGGGTGAATCAGACTGGACTGGACTAAACAACATTACAATTGATTGGAATTAACTGGAACTGACTGGAATGGATTGGGGCATATTTGATCTCCCACCTGAAAAATAATTCTCTTCAAACCCATGAGTCCAAAATAAACTACAAAACACATACATACACACACACACACACACACACATCTCATACCGTACCTGCAGGAGTATTCAAGGCCCCACAGTTTCCACGCACCATCTGGGGTGACAAAAATACTGGCAGTGCTGACGTTGTTGTGGCTCACCCCGGCCTAGAGGATAATAAAATAAAATGGATAAATAAAACAACATGTAGACACTATACCTGGTATCTGTTAAATGACCAAGTTGAATAAAAGAATGCCCTACCAACACTCCATCAATCATTACTCCACCACCTTCATTAAGCCAATACTCCATGAATCCTTACTCCATAATAATTAAGCCAACACTCCATGAATCATTACTCCACCACCATAATTAAGTCAACAAGCTATCAATCGTTACTCCAGACAACACTCAACTTACCCTATCATGAAGAAACACTAAAGTATCAATGATAGACAGAAGACCTGCTGATATGTGTAGTGGGGAGAACTGCTCCAGGTCGTGGTGCATGAGTGGTGCGGCTCTCTCTGTCACCACCACTACCTCCCCTCCGATCATTCCACCATCGAGGTACTTCAGTAATCCAGGGTGTCGGTACACTCTGCTGGCCTAAAAAAATAATCACAATGTTATAAAAATATTAGAAAGTGTTAGAAATATTGGATGTTTTCAGGTACTGTACTGTAGTAATGTCCTAAATATGTTCAGTACATAAATGTTTTAGAGAAAATTCATTCAAAGGAGCATAAATTAAACTAAAGTTATTATTATTATACATGTCAGTACACTCTTCTGGCTTTAAAGATAATGACAGGGAGGTTAATCTTCAGGTAATCCAAGAGATTTTTCCTTCTTACAAATCAACTGGTAAATATATCCAAAAACAGTAGGTCCGGCCATCTTACATTACCTGCAATGCTCTCTCAATGTATGGTCTCTTGCGGGAGGAGGAAGGATGGGCAGCGGAGAACACTGTCACTGGGACGCCCTCCAGTTCCCCAGGCGCCATCATCCAGTCTTCATAGACCTGCAAAAAGGCTTTTTACAGTAACAATTCTATACATTTATATTGTTAAACCTTCACCAACATAAATACTGAACTAAGTCCTTTATGTAAACTGTGTGTAGGATTCTAACTGTAATACTTCATGATACTGTATAAATAAAAGGCTAATAAAGCATTAATGATACATATAGATTGGATTAGATCAAGTTGGATAAGGTGAATTCAGTTTGCTTGTTTTTAAAGGTACAAGATATCCCAGCCACCACTATGGACATGGACTTCGATACTTTATAATGAACAGTTCTCTGTTACACATAATGGTTTACATATAAAGAAAATTTTTATTGAAGACATCACTGAAGGGTCAAGGTTTAGGAGAAGGTCGCCACTCTATTCATGCTATTTTTTCACAGGATCTTCTACACAGATGTTTGTTTTGGGATCACCTGAAAAATATCCACCCAGTTTATTTCACCTAAAGATTAATCACCCAAATGCTAACCAAACCTATCCTGACCTAACCTCATCCCTTTAATAGTAATGTACTATGGTGGCTAATCTTCAGGTGGAACAAGCTGGGGTGGAGATTCTTCAAGTGGTCTTTGTTTTCGGTGAATTTATAGTATCACACCGGTCTTTATTTCCGTATTAAAAATGTGTATCTCGTAATGTTTACACAATTCTAAGACATTTTTCTTCTATTATACTTCCATCGGAAATTAAGGATAACCGAGATATTAATTTTTCAAGATTGTTACTTTCACTCAGTCACAAATGTCATGATTTGTTTACTTTCGCGGAGGTGGTCTGACCCCCTGCTCACGAATTGCATCGTTCCAGGCCTCCGACCAGAGGGTTGGGTTAGGTTAGGTTTTTTGGTTGGTTGGTAATATGTTATGTTATTTATTCTAAAAAAATCCTACCTTTTCCATTATGACTGTTTGGTGGAGGGTGGGGGGGGGGTATCTGAAAACACGTGATTTCCAGTGGCAAAGAATGTCAAATTCGTTCAAAACTCATCAAAATAAATAGGAAAAACCTATTTTTAATATCAAAACAAAGACCAGAGTGATACTTTAAATTGACCTTGTTTTCCTGCACTGAATATGAAGTAATATAAATAATGGTGACAGATATATCGTTCCCATATATATAAATATAAACAGACATACAGACACTGAAAATAGTGAGATTTATAGACAGAGGCACAGATACCAAGTACTGTTCATAAATATATAGTTAATTAGAAACAGAGATAACTATACTGAATGATTTACACTCTTAAATATTAAACTTATTATTAAAAGTCCAATAAAAAATAATAGGGGTATAGCAGCACTCATATCCTTTATCTTAATCCATCAGTTAAACCAATAGTGACAAATATATAAATAAATGGTAATTAAGGAATTCAGTGAAAATGGGCATTTCATGGCTACCTTGAGATACCTTTTAATTGGCCTTTTGTTTACCTTTGTTTGTACACCTGCACTGTCTTTGTAATGTATATATGTATATGAAACATTGTGAAGTCATTTAGCATATTTGATAAATAAATATTAATCTGTGTACCTATCTACGTGTCTATCCATAAGATATTATGCTGTACTGTACTTGTTTTTGTGTCGTAATATTACCACGCACCTCGACCACAGCTGTACTCCACTTATAAATACTACCGTGTAACCTTTTACATCACCATAAATCCACACACACTAACCACCATAAAAGCTAAGAACAATAGTAATTACTTATAATCATCAATCTTATAAATTTAAAGTACAAAATGAACTCATGGACCTTTAAATTTATATATATCGTCTCACCTCGAACCATAATCGCATCATCACCATAATTACATTGATTTATCTCACGATTAAATGATTCGGGGATAGATCAACCCACCTCGCCTTTATCCCTGTCCACCTCCAAGTGTCCTAGAGTGCTGTCGGCATTCCCCATGGCTTGAGGAGCGCCTGAGAGGGGTATTAAGTAGCGGTGTGTGGGGAGGAGGGCAGCGCAGTCTTCCCTCCTACTGCTGTTTACGTCAAACAGGAGACCGTCCAGCAGAGATGGTGGCCTCGACCTACACAGCATTGCCAACCTCAGCTTTTAAAAAGCGCTAGATGCATGATTAGTTTGATAGATAAGTACGTAAAGCGGAGATGGGTAGATGTATAATTAGGTAGGTAACTTGCAACTAAATGGAGATATACCTCATCAATCTCAGCCTCTAAGAACTGCTAGATGGATGGATAGATGGAGAGAAAGGTAAATATTTATTGATAGACAAGCAGAAAGATATCTCACCAGTCACAGCCACCAAGTTCGACAGATGTTAGATAGATGGATACTTTGCGTAGCAAGGCTTCCCAAACACACTATTTTTTTTTTTGAATGTGGCATTAGCCCACCCGGGCATAGGTCACCAACCCACTTCGGGGCCTTGGAATGGGGCGGAAAAAATAAATTGCACCATAGATAAATACAGAACTGAGAAAAATAAAACAGATCAAGAGTGAGAAACGATATATGTTGTGTTGTCAAAGTAAGAGAAAAAATTAAGACCCCTTAATTGTGTGTAAATGAAGCAGAAAGTTAGTCAAATGAGCAACCTGGAACTTGATCACAATTTTTATGATTCCATATGACACATGGCACACTTATGCTTCCAATATCTTTCCAGGCGATAGTACCTCCCATTTTGATAGATACCTACTACTGTACCTACTACTGTATAGTACTAGCAAGCAATATGTAACAGACAGATCGACCGCCCGACCATACGTGAACTCTGTGGTGTAGACACTGTAGAGGATAAAGAAAGGGAGAGGATACCCCGCCAGCGCCAACCTCTGCCACCAAGGCCCACTAGAATAGATGGATGGTTAGATCGACTGAAACATATTCCTTCAGTAAAATGTCTACACTTTCTCAATAATGTTGGGATCCCCCGTGCTCAAGTAAACGACATCAAGGAGTGGGGCTAGGCTTTATCACCGAGATAAATAATGTTAAACTAAAGAAAAATAACAATTAAATACTTTACTTATACACTTATAGATAATGTGAGTCGAATTGAGAGTAGAGGGCCAGGGGTAGAAAGAGACTGGGATAAATATGAGACGTACCAATTTTTTTTAGGGATGGAGGTGTAATGCTGGAGATATTAATGTGTGGACTTGAAGTTAAGGGGGTTAGAGAAAGATATAGGCTGGGATGGATGAAGGAAATTAAAAGTTGTGGTCCCTGGAGAGAAACACAAAGAAGGAAGATTGGTAAACACACAGTGAAAACATGTAACTTGGACTGTACCTTGAGTGACTGGGTGTTAGATACTGAACATGTTTATATATTTCGTACTAAATGAAACCGTGAATTAATGCGAGATTATACTCACCACTGTTGTCATTTTACTCGTTAATTTATTGTTTCCAAATTTGAATTAGAAAATGTCAAAGAAGATTCACTTTTTATCTTTTCACCTCTGAGCTTACGAGCCATCCAAGCGGTTAGTCTGTTATGTCAAAGAAGATTCACTTTTTATCTTTTCACCTCTGAGCTTACGAGCCATCCAAGCGGTTAGTCTGTTCTCTTGTACCTTGTTTATGGCCGTCATTATCCATTGTTTATACAGGAAGAAACCGGTATATACTCACTACTCTGAGTTCGGACCCGGGAATTGATCCCAGCAAAAAAGTGAGAGCCTGAACTACCTGTATTTACCTACTTTTACTTATATCTTCGTTAGTCGCTTAGCTAATCTTATTTTAAAGGAAACCCATACTAAAAAAAATAACTATGAGATATCAAATAATTAATGTAATATCACTTATTTCTGTTATTTGGCATTATTTAACAGTTAACCACATAAACTTGGCAAGAAAAGTTAGCAGAATTACGCTGCACTTGGCATTACTACAATTGCCACCAATCACAAGAAGCCACTGTTTTCCCATCAATCACATCATAACTCTCAGAAAACAAGCTCATAATATACACCAATGTTTACAATAAAAGGATAATGTACAGACTGGGTTTAAGTTGGCCAGCAATCCCCAATACAAGTACAAGTACTGGGTTTAAGTATGCTGCGTCAGATGTCCGTACGTGCTGGGTATGTCCATGATCTGGGCACTGAGTACCATGATGAGTCAAGTTGATACACAGTCATGTTAGAAATTATTGTACTATGACTGGCGTGTTATTTTGTATCTTTTAGTTATCGGGAATATATTACTGTATACATTTAATTATTACTTCTATAATTTATTACTTATTTTGCCCAGAGGAACGATATGTATGTATACAGTAATTAGTTAAGTTGAATTACGGATTGAATTAGGTTATTTGGGGGAAGATGTCTTCACATACAAACACACTCACATTTATAAACATATACACATAACCACTCACAAATACATGCACAACCACGCATTTACAAACAAAACTACCCACACACAAATACAAGCACTTAAAGAAATACACACATTCTCGTTCAGCCCAAGTTATCCGTGACGTCCAAGCGCTGCCATTGTATCATCATTTAATTACCTCTCTACACTACCTGCATTACCTACACCTGGTTGGAAAGTTATTCGTATCCCTTTAAGGTTACTTAACTTTTTAGGTTTACGATTAATCCGCCTAACGCTACTTACCCGAGCCTAACCACCCTAACGCTGCACTAACCTAGATGGATAGGTAGATAGATAGATGGGCATACACAGTCAGTTATAAATACAGATAAATAGAGATTTACATTAATTAAAAACCGCTTATAAGTTTGTATTGGTTATCTTGTTTACATAGGCCGCGCATGCACATAAAAACAATAGCAATTTATTTCGATTAAATTGAGTATAAATAACTCAAAGATTTAATTAATTAAATATAATACTCGATGAAGTTTTCCATGTTTCTTATATTATAGAACTGATAGAACTGAATTGTTAGGAGAAAATACCATTACAAAGAATGAAGAACATTACTAGGCTTAAAACGGAAGAATATTGATTCACTGTAAAGGTGTTGCTATGTAGCGATGTTGCCAATAGTAGCTTTACGGTGATTTTACTTTTCCCGATAATACACGTCTCATATGTAAGGTCTTGTGCCTTAATTAAAGTGAAGTATGTAATTAAAATACGCTAGATGATGCGCCTTAAAGAAATCTATATTAAATGCCGTACATAGTCGAAAGAGTCCCTTTAAATGGCTTGATATGGTCGGCGTCTTGTTTACTTGCTATGGTTGCTAAGGACGCCATCTTCGTTGGTCTCGACGCCATATTGGTTGCTAGGGGACGTCTTCGTCTCTTAGTAGGAAAAATTTTTGGGGGTAATTTCTACCCGAATTCACTGCTCATTTTCCAAGTACACTTAAATCATTTACTTGAAAACAACCACTTTAGCATTATTAGCCCAATTAAAACACAAATAAGTTAAGGTTTTCAACATTATCATAAATAGGCCTATTTGAAAATATATGATTTTACTGAATAAATATCTTCTGTATCTTTATTCATATGAGTCATTTAAACATTTACATAATACAACACATGATAATACTCTGACATTTTGATTTGCATTGGACTAGGTCCTAGGACGTGAGAACCATGGTAATTAACTTAACTAAGGACCATGGCTTTGTATTGAGTCAAGTGTGCTATTTCCCACTGTTATTCAGAGTGGCCAAACAGTTGAGAATTTCAATCTTGGCATTCTGCATTTAGCAAGTTAATGCACCTTCATGGCAGGGTATTCGTTCACGCTATGGTTCACATTATGACAGGTGGTAATTTAAAAGGAGTGTTCAGTCTTCCATTCCAATTGGGAGTTGAATGCATAACCAATTGCTTTCTTTTTACCACAAAGCCTTATCATGTACAAGATTCATGAGACGAACAGATTATTTACAACCTGTACTGAGAATCCTTTTACACTGGATCCAGCAAGTTTCAACCCAACTCTCTTACAACTCTATAATGGGTGAATTGAAGAGAAAATCTTCCCCAAATATATTGTATGACTCCACATAAAACTACCAGAAACAATAAGTATAATCGAATGTCTAGCTGATGGGTGAAGCTAACTTGTATGAAGCACAGGATAAATTACCAGTACAGTGCAGGGAAATTTGGGGAATGTAAAAAAAGTCAATATTAAATTAAAACAAAAACAGGTGGAATAAATGACAGCAAAGGATACGAGTTTGTTGGGGAAAACTGTCAGTAATTTATGGTCGAGAGGAAATGATCAAAACACGGCCGACTGTGACTTAAATTTATTGAGACTGAGCCATGACATGAGGGCCGGGCACTGCGCCCCACCGTTTATCACAGATAGTGGCTGGTCACGTGGTGGTAGTACAAGCTAAGGCTGCACTCGTTCTAGTCACTCACAACCAGATCAGAAGCTTTCTACACGTATTCATTTATTGCACGCACTCAACCATCCGTTTCATCCACTTGTATCAGCACACTCTCACCATCCACAGCTACACAATAATTTATTCATGCTCACTTCCCTATTATCACCTGCATGCAGTAAGTAATCTCTCACATTGACATTCTCAATTTTTATCTTTAAAAATGATATGTAATTTTTGCTAGTGAGAATTACTTTCACAAACTCATTTCTGCAAGCTGGAACAATTAGTCAAGCTCCGATAGAAAAATGTAAAGGACATAAATAAAGCATTTTTCTGGCAAGACGCAAAAGTAACCAAACTTCCATAACATGTAGAAACATATTGATATGACTGAATATTTACTTCACTACAGATCACTACAATGTACAATTTTCTTTGGGTAATTCCAGTTACATGTCACAGATACAATACGTACATATCAAAGAAATATATGTACAAACAACTCCCCCGCTGTACACAAAATAAATTTTCTGCACTTACATTATTATACATCATGCATTTTTTAAATGAAACTATTTAATGATAGCTTAAATCTTGCAAATTATATATTAAATAAGATTGTAAATAACACTTTTTTTTAATGGTTTAGAACGCCCTGGCAGTACAAGATCAATCTCTCTACGGCCAAATTGGAACTTGACCAAATACTACTTTTTAAACATCACTTTTAAATCACTTATTATAATACAAATCTAAAGTAAGGAAAAGTTTTTACCATTATCACTTTCATAAATGTTGTCCTAAAGAAAGAAATTCCAGTAGTGTAACAAAAGCCTCTTAGCAGTGAATTCCCTAGACAGGCCACAATGAACTCAGATCTTACGGAGGGGGCAGTGAGCTACAGAGGTAAACATTAATTTTGTTGTCATCTTTAAGGATAAACTGTGGAATGGTGGAATGCATGGAGAGGTTCACTGAGATGGTAAGGATGTGGTAGAAGATGCAGGAGGAGAGTAGAGGCTATGTGGAAGGTGTGCTGGGTAGAGGGAGACTGAGTGGGTGGGACAAGTGGAAACAATACAGAAGAGGGAACAAGGAACGGATGGAAAAATATGGGAGAGAACAAGGGACAGGTGGAACACAGAAGGAACAAGGGTTGGGATATCAGGATAAAAGTGGGTAAAGGAGGTATGCAAAGACTGGTGCACCCTAGAGTCCTCTATGCTGTGTGTTACAACCTCAAAGAGAATCCCCCTGGATGAGAGAAGAGCCATGAGTGATAAGAAGAGGTAAGAATTCACCCCCCCCCTCCCCCCGTTGGTCAGGCCGGTTAACACTATTATGTGCCAAGAGCTGAGTGAACACATGTGGATCATTGTCAAATTTTATCAACAAAATATAGTGTATTATTATGCAACTATTCCATCAATCAATACTTGATGAATTTTGAAATACGTAATACCTTTAAACAGAATTATAAAAACTGGCAGTGAAAGTAAGTTTATCTTATCATTAATACTTTGTTATTTTTTGGGAGTATTGTACTCAAATAACCTGACATACAATACCTAACTCATAATAATGATTTGAATCAATAAAAAAAGTAATTTATAAGTGTGTAATAACTCAACTGCACCAAGTGATTTAATTACTCTGTCTGTAATCTATTTTTTTTTATCTGGTCAATAGTTTCCTCAACACTGATACAGTATTCATAATTTTCTTTAATTTACCTTTAATTACACACAATACAATGGTGGTGAAGTATAATAATGATAAATTTAATTTCTTTACATAAATTTTACATACCGGTACTATAATTTACCTGTTACCTCAACACCTCTTCAGCTTCAATGAAACTCAACTCTTAACATCAAAGTTACCATGAGTCACATATTACAAGTTCCATCTACGTGCTACATATACATTCACACAACACACATCATTACGTTGGACACACACCATTCACACAAGCAACACGTACTCAACACCAACACCAGGGTGACCCAGATATTAATAAATACTTTTTGGTGCCTCATTATGGGTATTTTTCTTGTTTCTTATTACTTTATGTAGATGTAAGTGAAGTTTTGTAGAGATTTATCAACTTTCTCAAGTGGATGAAAGATCATCAATTATCTCTGGGTTCATGAGTGAAAATTATGCACTAATAAAAGCCAAAAATCCAAAACGTTACCGACTTGACAGTGTCACCACAAAAACACTGAGGTGTAACTATTTGTATTACCGAGTGTGAACTTGATGACCCTTGTGTCATTTCACAAGAAACTAAGGCAGCATTTCCAGTTGTGATGGGGATCAGGTCAGTGTGAGAAGTGACTGGTTGAGCAAGTAGATACCCTAGGACCTTGTTATAGCAGTAAGTGAATGAAGGGAGTCTGTTTACTCTTGGTTCTCAGCCACCATGCAGTAAAGCAACAAAGGCCTAATAAAAGTGAAGAAAATAATGATAATTAATGTCTAGCATTATAACAACTCATAATTATATTTAACATTGGAGTACAAAGGTCACGGAATTTCAGTAACATTTATTACATTACTCCAGAGCAAAATTAACTACAGTATCTTAAATAATTTGGTAACTTCTTCCATGATTCTTATGCCTGTTTCATTCACTATTGCTAGACACTTCCCTACAAGGTGCTGCAGCAAATTTGTGATTTTAACTTTTAAGTTAGAAAAGTTTTCTTCTGTTATAAATAAATGAATTGGAAATCCCAAGTGAGAATAGAAATACTTTGTTAGTTTCTTGAAGAATGACCCTAAAAGCCATTGAGATCACATCCGAGGTCATCGAGGTCGCACTCTAAAATACAAGATATAAGCCTGAGTGTTTGCAGGGGAATATTTTTTTATACTGCAAGCTATTTCCTGTTCTGTAGCAGGGTAGTCAGGCAGGTGCTGATCCCTAACTCTTACCATTCAGCAGCTAGTCCTACCGAGTCCACCAATAGCAAGTGAGGAATTTTATTGCTGAGAGTGCTGGGGCTAGTATACACAAGCTTTCATAATGATTATACATTTAAGAGGCAGATGAGTGGTGACATTTGACACACCCGGGACTGATAGAAATTTGACAAATCCTCCAGAGACTTTACGTACAACTTACGTTAAGAGGGTCCAAGATAAATATCCTCAAAAAAGTACCAGAAAAGACTTAATATATGTGGGTCTCCCTCACCAACACCTTCGCACAAATTACCAGAAGACAAAGTCACTTCTATTCAATGTTTAAACTTAAAAAATAATGGCAATGAAGTTTGTGAATGGAGGGGATATTTAGATGAGATATTTCTAATGAACAGGTAATCACATCCATACACTTGGAGCATAATATGATGCCATGACTTACCGTATTTGATTGACACACGTTAAGAGCTAATTGTGTGACAAAGCACCTAACAGTCTGAAATCTGTCCTGTGCAAAAGGTATTAGAATAAAAATAACTATCTAACCATAGGCATTTACAAAAGAGTACAAAAGCCTACTTACAGTTCTAGAGGATTGCACGCAATGATGCCGGCAGGTTCCCTAAGTTACTTCGCAGGATCCGTTGTCGGCAAGATAAAACTAAATAGAATTGGCCGACTGAAAAAGTACAGTACCTGCATAATTACTCGACTGCAATACTTGCCACATATACATCATTGTCAAATTTCCAAATCACTGGCAACAAAGAAACGAATAGTATGCCTGACAACATTTACACACAAATGATCTCTCACAACTGCTATCAGTACATCGCGTATGGCCTCTAGGGGTGGGACAACGTCAGCGCCACGTGAACGCTGAACATTTAACATGGAGGCCATTGTTCGAGCACCTTGTTGTAACTCGTGAGACATCCTGAAGGCCGTATTGCAAGGCCATATTTACTACGCATCTTTTGTGCAACTAAATTTTCAAACGAGATGGATTGGTTTAGTCTTGGTTTATTACACTTGGGAGCCGTGAAAATGCTACTAATATCCTTCTAATACAGTAATACCATATCAAATGCTTATCCAAAACATTCATTATATTATTCCTTTGTGTTATATTCCAAGTTGTACACAAGACTGGAAGAAATATAGCAGTGTAATATGGCCTCAATTTTTCATACTTTGGCTTTTAATACCTGTAGTTTTGAGTAGTCTTTCAACACAAATATTAAGAATATACTTTTGACATGGACATGACAAATAAACTGTACACACAAAATGCCCATAATACTGTTTGAAGTGTATAAAATATTCTTACCATCAGAGGCAAAACCAAACTTATTCAATGGCTTTTACAATCAAATGTACCATGTCTGCAGATTTTTTTTATTACAAGAGAGAGAGTAGCATAAATAAAGTTTCTCCATGAAAAAATAGCAAATTCAGCAGTCTTAGTCTAACAGCAGCTTTCCTCCACATCAAGATTAGCCTTTCAGTAGCTCCTGATCCACGAGAGATAAGGGAAGCTCGTGTCCCCATCCCGCTAAGTTGCCTGACCAAGCTAAATAGTTATTGATCCGTTCTGCCTAGATTGATGTTTAGATCAGCGCGCCAACGCCCACTTCACGGCTACACATCGACGGTATACACTTAGCACGGCAACAGTGGTCGCCGGGAGATGGTCCTTTCTTGTGAGGTCACCGTACCTACCCTCCACACCGTAGTCTTGGGTCTTATTTTCAATCTAGGATGAAAACAAGTTACTATTACTATCACCATAAGAAGCTCAAAATACCTGATAACCTTTTGCATTTACATTCCAGAACCAGAATGGAACATTTATGTACCGAGGACTAGATCCAATTTACACCTTTACCTTCTGTTAAGTCATGGAAGACACAAACCAAGATAGAAATCATCACCATATCTTGGTGAAAATCCCTGTTATAAAATAAAACGTAAACACTGTGACACCCTGATTATCTTCAGAAGCTAGGAGTCTTTGGTCTCTCTCTGCAAGTACAGCACAAACTGGGAAAAAAAAGGCTCGTACAAAATGCGTTCTCCAATCTCCATCACCTATACAGCTCGTGTCATATATAAAAAAAAATCCCCTTTTCTTGGTTTACATTGAGTCTTCAATGTAAAGTACTCCTTGCCTTTGAGGTGCCTTTTCATAAACTTCATTCGAGTGTTTGTATTCAGACTTGCAGATTGACCGGGAGCTGTTAGCTGTCACCATGAAACATATTCCCTGCACTTCAGTCCGAGGCGGCAGGTTGACAATGAAGACTTTCACAAGTCAGCTGAGATTACCCATGTTGAGGTTTATTAAATCCAGTGGATTAGTTGAAGAATTTTTCAATCATATTCTAAAATTTGCTTGTGATAAAAAAGGAGGTATCTGAAATAAAATGAAAAATTGAATTACAATGTAGGTATGTACTGTACAGAACATACAGTTAAGCATGTTTAAAATGCAACTATTCTGTTTACTTATACACACAATCTGGCTTACTACAGGAGAGTTATCAGAATTTAAGAAATCATCTGTCCTCTTCAAGATACCATCCTCCATTATGTAACTTTACAACATATATGAATTATTACACCTACATGTCTAAGTTGTCACAACACTCATTTTTAAACACTAACACAGCATCTTGTGAACCCCGAATATGACCCCTACACATGTTACTTTGCATTTGTTTGAACTGAGCCCATCCACATGTAGAGGATATCTCATAAGTCACTTATCATAGGTGAGGGAATCATAACTCAATGAAGATATCAGATAAATTAACAGAAGTGGAAAGAGTCAATCTATTACTGTACAGTGTTAATTTCTCTGCCATCTTTGTTGAGCTGTTATGATTTCCTCACCAGGAGAAAAAAGAAAGAAAATATAAGATTATCATTATCTTTTTATGGTGCACAACCTATGGAATTTTCCGGCAAGTGTGTGTGATAAAGATACTGTTTATCAATTGCCTATCTCACCAAGCATTACAATTTACACCCCCCCTCTAGCTATGTCACTACAAACTGGTACATACACATAAGTCACTTGATACAATGCAAAAAAGTATGCCACTGACCCTTCACTCTGTAGCACATCCTGGATGGTGGCTCGAGTGATCATGTGATCATCACATTTGTACCACTGGTCGCGGTGTTGACGCACATACGCTGTGTAGTGACCAGCATCTAGGCTGCCTACGTGGTTAACTACCGCAAATAGAGAATACCTGCAACAAGAAAATTAACTAAGTATTGTTGCAACTTTTTATATCAGCACAAAGTAGAAATCTTCACTAAACTATAAGATGACTCAACTTATCGTGAATTTCTCTAGTGTTTAATTAAAGATTTTAATACAGTATTACACTTTGAAGGTTAAGGTTACAGGGCAGTGACTGTAGTGCTCTTACTACTGTAGGTGTTTCAGCCCAATCCTGTTAAATTGTACACTTTTCTTACATAACTCTTTATTTCCTTTCGATTTTTAAGCTTTCTGTTATAAGAAAAAGCAGTAAAAATTATCACCACCACCATTCTATTGTCATTCTCCAAACTTGGGTGGATTAGCTATGATCACCTGATAGCAGTTTTCCATACTGCACAGTCTATTGCAGCCTCTAACATCTGGGTCTTATCTCCGAGGTCATCCTTACAACCTGTCCCCATGGCTCCTCTTCACATGTTCCAACCTTACCATTACTCTCAATACCAACCAGCCTCTCAACTCTGACAAAGGTTTCTCATTTTTCAATCTCACATTAATCATCCATCGCATCACTTTCACTTCAGCTCCATACATCACAATTGTAATGAAGTCACACAAAGAGAAGGCCCACTTGCCATCGTTAAAGACAACAGTTACTTAAACTTCTTCCACCCATTTCGGTCACTTGCTTACCTAAACATACATTATTATGGATGCACCAGACTGAAACTATCCAGTATCCGGTGCACCTCTATACATTACCTCATAGAAACATTAGTTGAAGCAAAACACCTATGACCAACTCACCTATTATTAATATCAGTTGGATGTGTTGTAACACCATTGTGGTTGTTATTATTGTTCCTTCTGTTAGACATAAATGGAGTCATGTCCAAATGTTCCGGAAAGGAAATGAACGTTGAGATTTTCTTGTGTAATCTGTTGCTATGTTCGAATCTCTGAAAAGTACGAGTTTTGTTAATGTGTAAATCCTACCATATCTAAAACTTAATTAACATTTCAATTATATTTTACACAAATACAAACTTTAATAATTATATAAATACAAGATGTTATATTACAGGAATTACATTAAAGCTAGACAGGGTATGATACAGTAGAGATAAGAATCCTCCTTGTGCAGTAAAGACCAGTGAACCAAGCTAACCTTAAGGTGAAAGCTACACACAATAGGAAGTTTTTTCATGGTGAGTTGTTTGGTGGATTCTTGATAGCTTTGACACCCACTGCATTTTATCTTTGCACTACTGCCTGCAAGAGACGAGATAACTTTACAATTTCACAACACAGATAACACAAACAGTCATAACACTCACAAATTAGCACAGCCATTACTGTTTTGAGGAAATTAATAAATTATCATCAATTTGTAAATCAACGGAAATTTCACAACGGATACTTGAAGCATGACAACATCCATCTGGCACGATGGTTTCTTTTCATAAACTTGGTTATTTCTTAATAAAATACCCACAAAAACCAACACACACAAGTGAGGAGTGTGATGGAGGCAGAGAGGCTAACTGTGGATGAGCCTTATACTGTATACTGACTACTCAAAAACCTCTTCAAAAATCTGGGTAGGAGGTTAGGGAGTGAGGCTTTAAAATGAATATGAATGCAAAGAAGGATTATATGAACTGATTTAAATCTGCTGTGATGAGGAAAAACATATTAGCAACGATACAGAACATATGTCAATCAGGTACATACACACGACTGGTTTTAAAATGGGCGAGTAACATCCTCGACGCTCGTCAACTTACCTAAATGCTCAGGCCGTGTAAATCGGTCTAAACAGTCGGCAAGAGAAGTGGGGACTGTCTTATCTGCTTTGCTGGTGCCATAGGGACATGGCCCCAAGTCCAGTGAAATATCCCAAAAAGGATCTATGGTAGTTGAGACTCCGCTGAAAGTAATTAATTCGTGATAATAGTTAAACTCTACAACACACTACAGCAACAACAGTCATCTCTCAGTATCAAAATCTTTACAAAGCTACATTATAAGAGTATTCCTAAGCTGAACTAAAATAAATTACTCTTAACAGGGTAAAATATTTGTTATATAATATTGTAGAAATCTTAAAAATATAACACACAAAGATAATGAGAAATAAAGAATTCAGGTATGATATCCCATTTTATTGATGTCTCAGGTCATCATGATACCTACTGCTAATTCACCCACTATCAGAATCTGCCTTACCACACAGATGGATATGGCACAATACATTATCCAGATATTATTTTTGCTGAAATAAGTATTTTCATCATCCAGTCAAATCAGGGTTAAAAGTTTGATCCCAAATGATCTAGTGGGTTGTCTCAATGTTAGGGAACAGTGAATGTTTTGTTCAGACACTTACATGATCGGAGCCACCTTCAATCACAAATGGAAGTCAAGTTTTAGCTCCTTCCGCTTTATTATCCCAGGAATACCAGGACACTCATTTCTTTCCGGCGAATAATAAATGATAAAAGAAACACCAAAAATACAGTACTAATGTAGTGATAAACAAATTACCGTATATAAACCATGCAATTACCTATGATAATATAATAAGAAACATTGTATCATTACCAGAGTGAATGAAATAATATTCCCACAAACAACAATTGTCAACTCTGTTTCCCACCTCGGGCACCTGTGTCCAAGCAACTGACGGGTCAAGCAGCGCCCACGGGCCTAAAATGTTCTTTGCTCTGGTTTGGAAATGTTTCCTATTGAAACTTTTAGGAAGATTCTTAGCCCAGAACCCCCAAATTTTTGTCCGGATCTTCCAAAATCCCGATTTCCCGGATCTTCGAAGGTTTACCATATAACACGACAGTCAAGAATTAACGGTAGAAAAAACATCAGATTTCATATGTCTGGTTGTGCATCATGTCTAGGCCCTCTTGGCATAAACAGACTCTGTTAGCAGGTGATTTACCAGAATGAATCTTGCACCTCACTTTATGGTGACCCAAACATCATAAGACCTGATTACCTGTATCATCAAAAACACAATTGGCCATAATGTTATCAACACTGACCAAACCTGTCGACTGCAGTTACATAATCAACTCACTTGCATGCCTGACATACAACGTCAGACTGGAGTCCACCGGTAAAAATTTGGTCTATAATACAGGAACATGTGTGTGTGGAATCTCCATTGGAGGGAGGGTTGCCCTGGAAGATAAAGGAGGAGTATCATTAGTACCAACTGTGATAAAGGAGAAAACTTACTATCTATAGTACTTCTGAATATTTTTAACCCAGTGAGTATGACAACTTATCCCTCAGTACAATGTCATCTTACTCAAGGGAATAGCAAAGTAAATTTTTCTTATAAAATTGACACCCCGAGATATTCTAGAACTGCCCAACCTTAATTACTGGGCTGATGTAATCTATCACATAAACACTTTGTTTATCCAAGAACCTGACTCAAACAAGTTAATAGCCAATCAAATCACTTCAGTAGTCTCTGGCTCATCACTTAGTAAATAAATCCCAGACACACACACATTTTTCAATGTCAACTACTAGCAACTGATCCACTTGTCTTGGCTGCCATAGTTACTAGGGGATGATATACTAGGATAGGCCTAGTCGATAAGTGAATTAGCAGAAAACTTTGCAAATAAGCCAAAATTTAGGTACCTGGCAGTGACGGTGTAGTACGTCGAGGGCTGCGATAAAGAACTCGTGAGCGTCTTGCTGCTCGTACCCGGCCAAGTGCCTGGCATGAGTCCATATAAGGTGAAGTAGTTTGTGGAGAATCAGAGGGGCCTTGTTCCCACTGTAAAACTGTAACACCAAAACCAAGTGTCATGTATGTATTTGGAATCACATGTAAGAGATCATACAGGGCGATTCAAAAAAATTACAAATTAATTAAAATCTGGGCTTCTGTTTTTACGACCCTGTATATATTTTGACTCGTATACCAATATAACTTGGATACATTTATATATCTTAGGATACATATGGTATATCAAGAGGTATTGAGATATTTCATAGCAGTAACATGTACTATTAAAAAACTTATTTCAAAAACAAGAAAAGTGAGAATGACAGCAAAATCCATCTTTCACTTCAAAGTTCAACACCGACATATTTCAAATTTACAAATTAATTAATATAAAAATTTATCCCCTAAACCCTAAAGTTGGAGGATCAAGTCTTTTTACTAATGAAACCATAGAACCTATTTCATAACTTCTCCCATAAGTAGTTACAAAGGATAGCTATATATAAATTGTCCAAACAAACACACCCTAACTGGCTGACACTTGACAATGTATCTTAGTTGCTGTCAAACCATTATCACCACATCATGCTTAACCTTGACTTAGATATGTACAAAGATTCAAGCATGACTCGCTACTTCCTGTCATTGGCCTGAGACGTATTTTGTTTGTTGTCACCTACAGTTCACTGGTATATGTAACCAATTCTCATTAACATATTAAACCATTTATTATAACTATTATTATTATTATTTTAAACACACAAACACAACAATGACTGCTATATGCCCCCCCAGTGTTCAAGGCAAGGAGGTATCACTCACACACACACACTGTTATCAAGACTGAAATTCCCTATTCATCACTGATAACCATAGTCGTCACAGATAACACGGCCATTTAAGCTCTGCCTGTCATATCTCGCGGTGACTAATTCTCGACTGGGAGCGACAATAATATTAACATAAATCACTCTATTGCACCTCAGTATTTATAAGTTTTATTTATAACTCAATATATTTTCTGTTTAATTAAAAAAAAAGTGTTTAAAGATTTCAATAATTTTAAGTTTCAAACACAAACACACAAAAAATTAAGTTCAAATAACTAATAAATACATCAGATCACATTGGGTAATATTTTTGACAATATGGGGAGTAACTTAAGACTTATTTAAGAGGATTAAAAGATCAAAACTGCTCCACTAACACACTCGCACCTCTTCCCACACTTTACACCACAGGACAACGAACATAATTCTCAACCACTTGCCTTCATTCCTGCCATCCTCTTAAAGTTGGTTTCACCCTCCCATTTACGTATACTTTTGTCCTTCCTTTATACTAAGATGTTTCAAAACGTCTCCCCCTTCAAAATTCCACTTAGTATAGCATATATTCATTAGATCTACCACATTACAAAGAAGTACAGTATTTCATATTTTTGTTTTGTTAACCGTTACAAAATATATGATATACTGTATATAATTCTACTGCTTAGATAATTGATTAATTTTACAATATTCTATAATGTATAATAAATAAATAAATAAATATCAGGAGAAACAACAGTGGTCTAAAGGCTGCCAGTTTTACAACACCACAAGTTAAGCAAAAGAATGTGCCTCCCCCTATATGGAGACAGGACAGTATTTTCCACAATAAATACACCTCTCAACCAAACACTACTCTACCAATATTTTCTCACCCATCTGCCAGCATCAATTTCACCTCTCCATAACTAATATCAATATCCTCATCAACTGTGGACAGCTTACTACTTATTCTGCACGTCTACATCACTCCCACACTGTTTACCATATCTTTCAATCTTTTCACACTCACAAGGAATTTTTTTTACCCTTTGCAGTTATATTTCCAAGATTTTTACACATTTCTCAGTCGTCATAAATGCACATATTCTACCACTGTTCCAAAAATAGGGATGATGTACTGGTAACTAGCATACTGTATATATCAGAATAAAGGAATAAGCTATACTTTAAACACACCTCCTGGAAGAGCCTGGAGATTTCACAGACCAAGCAACGTGTGGAATCATTATTGAACTGACACACGTGCTTGTCCGAGAGGAAGTAATCTCTAAGCAGCGGTGTGTGCGTCAGTGCCTGGATGATGCAGCTCATGAAGCACGTGTTGCCTAGATTAATTAAACCACGAAGTCCTGGCCAAAGAAAACGAGCAAACATGTAAATAATTCATGGCTATGGAGACGTTTCAGGGGTTCAAAGTGAGATTGACAATGATTTTGGAGTTTGTTTAGGCCTGAGAGGTCAATAGTGTGTCCATGGGCATAAAATTCAGTGATAGATTTTTAAAGAGACCACAGATATATAAACAACCTCTCTGGTATAAAAACAAATAAAAAATAAATAAATAAAAAATAAATAGACCCACCTAACACTTATATATTATTTCCAGCCATACTTATATATCCTTATTTCTTTATCATCACCAAAAGAGCATTACATCATTACTCTACATAATATTAAGCGTTTGGTACTCGGCTTCTGAGCTGTTTTCCAAATGCTTCCAAACATATGCTCACACTTCCCCAAAGATAAATGCAAATTAAGCTTTTATAATTGTTAACTCTTGATTGATACACTTCACAACTATGCCTTAATTAACAGACAACATTAAATAAATATCAATCTATAGGCAATATATAATCTCCAATGACCACATAACATACACCGAGAAACGACGAACCTATGGTAGAATTTGCAGTAGGTCTCCGTCTTTTAGGATTAGCCTGAAGAAGGGTCATCTCCACCTGGTCAGGCTCCCACGCCCGGTATTCTGTGTCCAAGCCCAGCGATCTCCGCGACTTTTCCCTACACGCCTGAGCGATGCGGCCAACATCCGTGTCATAAACGTAATCACCGCACGCCACACACAAAACTTGACCTTGTTCTACGTCCACAACTGAAATTTAGGAGAAATGATAATAGTACAAGACTATTTCTTGAAGGTCAATAAGATGTAAAGATGATTACCTATTTAAGTGACTATTACAAAAAATAAAAAATAGCTAAACATTTTGGAGCTGATGAATTTTGTCTTTTCAGAATATTGGAGTAATTTCCTGGATGGCTTTGGTTAAATTTAGTTAGGTTAAGTATGTTATCAGTAATCAGAAATTACACACAGTTATGTAGCGTAAAAAAAAATTGGAACTCCTATTATATTCTTACAAACAAGCTGCTAGCGAAATGATGCCATTAACATAAATACAGTGCATTACAAAACACGAGAACTTATTACTCCTTAAGATTAACCACCTAACCTAACCCCACTAAGGTAGCATGAGTGTGTTTAATCCTTTGATGAAATAAGCTGAGATGTCAAAGCTTCACATGATCTCGCATAACATTTCTTTCACAACTCTTGGCACGTGCGCTAGCCAACGCCCAACACCAGACTCCTTCCATCTCCGCAACACCTACATACATTCTACCTAAACTTGACGGAAAAACTCGGGCAAATACTGTCAAAACCAACCTAGATTGTGTTGCATAGAGGCTGAGTGGTCTTGTATATGGCCCTGGTAGCAAGCAAAATGGACACAGTGTAAGCAGGCATGGAGTCTTGGGCTGTGAGTACCACACACTGAACACACGCACCATTTTGCCTGCAATGAGAGTACATATATCTGAAATTAAAAAGAATTCCATTACTTTCTACTACTCAATACAAAGGAACAAGAATTAATCATTGATCGGTTCCGACTTAAATAACATATAGTTAGGTACCAGGTAAGTTTTTATTGGCTCACTGAAGTGCCAAAAATGCAGAAGTAATCGTTAACTTTGTCTCTCCAAAGTATATCCGGTTTTTTTCAGTTCCCAAACTATATAAATTACCCACACAATTACATGATATATATTCAATAGACAATCTCCTAAAACTATTAGCTTAGTAGGTGCAATTACTATCAAGTATCGTTAAGGGTTAAAGCATGTATAAAGAAGCAGGAACCAGAATGAAACAGTAATCTCCACTAAACATTTAAGATTATATTAGGTTCATATATCTTTCTTCAATATTGGTCTACCCAGATACTACACCCTAATTGTTTTTATTTATATCAATAAAAATGGGTGGTGCTGAAACTGGTGGGATTAATTTCCATAAAACACTGCAATCAGTTTCTTCCCTTTTTCATTAAGTATCATAAACATCCAATGAAAATTTGGGTGTTCCTCCCTGGGTGAAAATCCATACCTTCCCACTTTCAAGTTACTTATTTTTATTAACTTAAATATAACAATAAAAAGTTCTAAAGATCTCAGTATATATGAACAAGTATAAAGGAGAATAAAAGTGTTCAAAATCCTATATAATTTCCCCTTTAAAAAATCTAGGCCTACAAGCTTATTAAAATTTCACTCCCATCATATGACCTATAATGTACTTTTATATACACAACATTAAATAAATAAAACAACTGAGGATTAGCCTTATAAAAGTGTAAAAATTAAGGTAAATAAAGGAGTTGTTTTTGTTCTATAGTGATATTATCCCCTGTGAGGCCAGTGAAGAAAAAGGGTTGTTTTAGAAGACTGCTGGAGTCTTTACGAAAAGCAAGAAAGTACTGTACTGAAGAAACAAAATAACTTCTTTACTTTATTCATACTCAACCGGGCAAATATATTCTCATTGCCAAAGTTTTTCAGTAAAATTCATAAATTAACATAAGGAAAATAATAAACGTTTGTGTTTTACGAAAGGGGTTCAGTTTTAGACCTACAAATGACACCAACACATGGTAGTGCCAACTCTGACATAGGCCTACTATATAAGTCCCACAAGAGTTCCGCCTTAATAGGAACACCTAAAGTGAAATAAGTTAAAAATTTTACGTGATATAGTTCAAGAATTACATGATCGATGACAGCGTCTTGGCACTTCCTGTTATAACGTCGTATCAAATTATTCACCTGCCAAACCCTCGTTGATAAGATATGAATGAAACTTGTAAACTATAGAGTAAATATAGAGGGTTTAAAAACTTAAATAACCTTTACTCGTGAATGTCAGGGGGAATTTATCTATTATATGATCTAAAGAAGGTATCAGGGTCGAGATTGGTGAGTTAGAAAGGAAAGAAATGTATAGGTGAATTGAATATGTGGTGACCGAAAACTTTTGCACAATTTCCCCCAAATGTGGTTGATGGCAACACCCGCCACACACTCTCAGCTGATCCCTCACCACCAGCCACAACAAAGCATCTTGTCAAACACAAACACGCTTCCCAAACACCACCACCTGCTGTTTGTCTCCTACTCCTACCCCCTCTACCCTCCTACACTAATGGTTAACCCCTGAGGTGATAAACTAACCCAATGAGGGTATTACTTCTCAAATAATGTACTAAACAAGGGTGGCGGGCACATAGCCACTCGGCGCCGATCAGCTGACGGGGCCTCACCTTCTGAAGCCGCGCCGCCTTACTGGTACAAAACACGAAGAAGCTGTAGATCAACCGGAATGGCTGCGTTCCTTTCGACGACTTGAACTCGGAAAGATGAACACATCCTTCCATACTCATAGTTCACTGATCCACTCCCATTTGGCGTTTGTTCACAATATAGAGGAGATGAGCGCCGCTGCCAGCCTGCCTTCACCCCCACGCTGCCACTGTCGGTGTTGCCATCTGGTGGCCTTGCACACCAACAAAGACTAATCCAAGCGCCAAATTTAAAACTTCCCTAACATTTTTTTAACATTATCGCCTTAAAAAGAATTATTAAGATTTACCAAACTGCCAGACAATGCAATATGATTCAGTTTCATTATTTTACTGATAAAATTTAGATATTTATTGATAATCGTAAGGTATTTAACTGATTTACTCTAAGGCGTTTACGTCAACTCTCAAGGGCATATCTTGACAACGTTGCCATTTTACGATCGCCAAGTTCTTTGAGCAGTCAATGACCTGGAGTACTAATTGACTATAATGCTTTAATAAAACATTTCATTATATTTCAAGATTAAAAATGAGTCGGGCAATTCGAAACATAATGTGAAATCAAACCACCAGAGGCGAAATAATAACAGAAGAAATCGAAGCTTTCCTAACAAACTGGCAGTACTACTAAAAGTCGTGACTATCGGGAAAATTGACGCAGCCATAAATGATTGATTTCCTTTGTTTTCCTAGTACTAACACGCCACATCATGCCCCATATACCTCTAGTAACATGATTGCTACTTTATGTGAGAGGGAAAATAATTATGTGTCATGATTGTTAAGCTAAACTGCCATTTAACGGGACCCACGACATAACAGTGTAATTGGTAACTCGTGAGGGTATGTCCACTATGTTAGGTCGGCCTGTTTGATCCTAATATCTCTGCTAATATAACAATTAATGTATAATGATTAACAATTGGAATCAATAGTAAGATATACCATTATTTTTGCTCTACAACGCACGATGAAAACGCTCACCAATACCAGTTTTTAAATCATAAAAAAATCTCCCTTTCCCGTTAATTTTCCTAAGTTTCAACACACTGCAATACTATGATAGATAATATTAAGTAATTATAACCAAAGTAAACAGAAGAGGCCTTGAATATCTCAAATGCAAAAACTTAACGCAGTCAAAATTGTTCCCGTATGTTGGTAAATAAGTTCATTAGTGTTCAAGTTTAATGCTCACTATGAACCCCCTGAACGCTGAACTCCAATACGGGGTCAAATGTCTAATAAAACTTGATTTTGATCATAATTAAAACTATTTTTTACTTATTAATTATTTTTATCTATAAATAAAAAAAAGCAGCTGGGTTAAGAAGAATTAGGCTTAAATGCATATCATTTGGTATTAAATATACACCAATTAAGTGGCTAAATACGGTCACTTAATAAAATTTAAGATGATAAAGTAAAGTAAAAGTAAAAACAAATTAACAGACTCTACCTTAACTAGATACGTTCACTTAAAACCAGTTATAAGACAAAATTATGTGAGACTATTCCTTAATTAGATACGTTCACTTAATTAGCACGACTTAGACAAAATTATACTGAGTATCTACAGTGATTAATAATTATAAGTAAAATATGTGAATTGTGGTTGAAGGAAGTGTCAAAAATACGATGAGGACGCGCCAATACATACAAAAACTTGCATAATTCTCAGTTTGATAGCGAGGTGTCAAAAATAGCATAGTTATCCCTATAAATTATCGAATATCGCTTCGTTTTCTGTTTATGGGGGTCATATAGTGATAGGATACTGTGTTTCGAACTTTTTTCGTGTATGTGTGAACTGGAAGTTTATTTTGTGTTTAAATGTATGTAAAGAAGACGTAAATGCCAGTTACACATACCAGAGGAGGGAGACCAGGGTCCCCATATATGAAAACAACCGGAAATGAGATAAGTTAAGGTTGGTTTTGTAACCTTCGTGGTTTATCTCAGGGTTGTAATTAGGGGAAATAGGCATAGCCTTGCGAGCCATGGCGCTACTAACCTATAAACAAACGAACATGCACATAAATAACACACGTAAATCCACTCATCACAAGATACAAAAACAGTAAACAAAGTACTTCCATCATCCAAGACTCACGGTAAAAATGCAATAGACGTTTACTGATGAGGTAGGAAGTATAACCTTGAGGGAAACTCTTACAATGGATGCCACCGGACGGAGAAATGAGGTTGTGTATTTTTTCCCCAGGATAAACAAGAATTTATTTTAATATCTATTGTACAAATTAACTGTTCAGGAGATAAAATATTTACAGAACTTTGTCAAATCAAACCCAAACTAGAAAGAGAGAGAGAGAGAGAGAGAGAGAGAGAGAGAGAGAGAGAGAGAGAGTGTGTGTGTGTGTGTGTGATACACGCTAGGACATAAATAATCTAGTTTCGATATCATAAGCATAATTGTGCCCCTGAATAAGCATAATATCCACATAGGATTGTAGTGGATTTCTCCCCTACAAACGCTGTTTGTGGCTGCGTAGCCGACCCCACGAATTACCCAGTGTATGTGGTCTAGGTCAACCAGCGCCGCCCACGGAGCGGGGGTCAGCTACTAAGCCACGCCTACCCCCGCTATTTAAGACCTGACCTCGTGGTGATCTTTCTCTTTCTACCTCCACCAACCAGCCAGCAACACCTCCTCCTCCACCGCCTGCCTGGCGGCCCTCGCTCCCGCCGGCGAGCAGGGCGACCCACAGGCTGGTCCTCCTGTGAGCATCCTCACCAACCAGCTCTCTCTACATCACGCTTGTAACCATGCTGCCTTCCCAGCACCAAGCTGCATTGTACATCCAATACAACATGTATACAGAGAGCACATTGTGAGTTTCCTTTCTCCATCCCATCCTGAATGAGAACACAAACATCCCGTATCCCACAGAATCAGCGTGTATTTAGATTAACAGATAGATATACAAATAGACAGATAAATAGACAGACAGAAAGATTAATGTTTGTGATAGTTCGTGGAAAAAATCTTTATCACTGTTTTCCTGTAACCTTTTCACCGTCCGGTTACTTAAACCAAAACACAAAGCTAAGTTCCAAGAATTTAACCCATTATGATTACGTCACACAGGATGTTAACTGGTACCCTGTTGTCGAGAAGAAGAGACAACAGATACGCACTGGTACACTAGACGGTGCCTGATTGGGTGTTCGTTAACGAATGAGAGAATTCCCAATCAAAATAATATGATTTATTTAATTTGGATTACGTTTCTCCTCTTAGATTACTGAAATAGCCAATCAGATGTCGTTATTTCGCTAATAATTACCTGTTGTTTATGTACATGACAACACGGTACCAGTTCACACACACACACACACACACACACACACACACACACACACACACACACACACACACACACACACACACACACACCTCCTCCCCACCGGAATATCAACATGTTCTCGCCAGAAGTTACTATTTCATTTAGGAAAGGAATGGAACCAGTGTTAAACAGAGGTGAACAGTGGTGAACAGTGCTTAAGTCAGTGAGAACAACTCAACAGTAACAGTAGTACCCAAGTTAACCTTCACACAGTGAGGTCCCAGGTACCCAGTGATAACGGCCCGTGAGACCCAACAACCAGCGATGTGTTAATCCGTCTACGATAGGAAGGCCTGGAACCACACCTCACTCATATAACACCATCTGTGAGGGAATTACTACACCACGTGAGGCCCCTCATAACACCATATGTGAAGGAGTTACTACACCACGTGAGGCCCCTCATAACACCATCTGTGGGGGAATTACTACACCACGTGAGGCCCCTCATAACACCATCTGTGAGGGAATTACTACACCACGAGAGGCCCCTCATAACACCATCTGAGAGGGAATTACTACACCACGTGAGGCCCCTCATAACACCATCTGTGAGGAAATTACTACACCATTGAGTCCTCTAACACCATCTGGGAGGGAGTTACTACACCATTTTGCCATTCCTTTTCCTACAATATCTATGTTCACCATGTTTCTTTCACCTTTCTCCTAATGAAACTTTGCATTAAACCACCAATGTATGTAATAAGTCATTTATGTCCAATGTATATTTTCAGCCTTCGGGCTGCAGAACTTTTTCAATAAACCGTCAATTATTATTATTATTATTATTATTTACACACATACACACATTTTATTGCAAGTTTAAATCATTATAGTGCATTTCAACTGCAACCTTGCAAGAATTGGAAAGAATTCTAACTACTAAATAATATCGTGTAATGAGTGAGTGTATGTGGGTGAGTGGGTGTGTGGGGGTGTGGGGGTGTGGGTGAGTGGGGGTGTTAGTATGTGTGGGTGAGTGGGGGTGTTAGTATGTGTGGGTGTGGTGGAGTGTGTGGAGTGGAGTGGAGTGTGGAGTGAGTGAGGTGTGGGTGTGTGGGTGAGTGGGGGTGAGTATGTGTGGGTGAGTGGGGGTGTTAGTATTAATAATGGGTGAGGAGGGTGTTGAGTATGTGGGGGTGTTAGTATGTGTGGGTGGTGGGGTGTTAGTATGTGTGGGTGAGAGGTGTTAGTATGTGGGGGGTGTTGAGTATGTGTGGGTGAGTGGGGGTGTGGTGGTGGGTGAGAGGTGTTGGTATGGGTGGGTGTGTGGGGGTGTTGGTACGGGTGGGAGGTGTCGGTATGTGTGGGTGAGAGGGGTGTCAGTATGTGTGTGGGTGAGTGGGGTGTTAGTATGAGTGGGTGTGTGGGTGAGAGGGGTGTTAGTATGTGTGGGTGAGTGGGGGTGTTAGTATGTGTGGGTGAGTGGGGGTGTTAGTATGAGTGGGTGTGTGGGTGAGAGGGGTGTCAGTATGTGTGGATGAGAGGGGTGTGAGCATGGGTGAGAATATGTGTCACTATATTGAACCAAAAACACACCTTAACACACACCTTTTTCATACACCATTCCAAAATCACTAAACACCCTCCATCCCCTACGTTGATTACATTATTGCATTAGTTGTATAAAAATAACACAACTTCATAGCTTTTAAAGATAAATCACCATGTCATTGATTTAGCTGCCTGAAGTCTTAGCTGAAGTCATAATAACTCAAATGTAATGCCTCTCACTGCTGTAACTTCTGGAACTTCACGATACATGCAACTCAACGAAGAGAACGATTATATATATTGTA